TAAGAAAATATAGGCAAGTAATCTCCAAGTTCAACCTAACTACCTAGCAAACTTTTAAACAGGCATACATTTAAAAGTTTCAATCAAAAACTTATACAAACTTAGTTCCATGGACTTGATAGTTTAAATTTTTCTCATTAATGATATGGTCATTGACAGTGTAAAAGTTTTGCACTGGCAGTACATCAAATTTCAGCTAAGCCCACTGTATTCATCCTTCAGCTACAAGCCTATGCCTACATTTTCTATGATAGACAAAGATGAACATAAAAAAAATCGAGAAGGATTTACCTTTCTCGTAGTTAGTCATATTAAAAATTTTCAATTTGGTGTAAACTCCCCAAAATCTCTTTGGCCGAACTTGATTCGGATTTGCCAATAAACTTATCATCTCCACTATCCACCCATCAGCCTGCCCAATTGTCCACCAAAGCCAAAAAAAAGATAACAGATTTAGAAGATAGTTCAAATCTTAAGACTTCACTTTTTAAACCACAATCAATAATACTAACATACTTGCCAAATCTTTCTCAGTAAACTAACAGATCATTGATTATAGAGCTAGTATTTTTTTTTTCCAGGAAACAAACAGGAAAGTAATTGGATTGCCTAATTTTACCCTTAGAAGCTTCTTAGCATAATCAGAGACCAAAACGACCATGTCTTTAGTTGATCCAGTGTCCCTTATCGATTTCCCTAAAACCCTGACCCCTAAAAGGAACTCATCTCCGTAAAGCAGCGTCGCGTAAGTTTGTTTCGATGGAGATCGATCTTCAATCCGCAACGCCGCCTTTGATTGGATAATCAAAATGACCAGAAACAGAGCCGAGAGTTTTTGTAATTTCATATTACTCGATTTTCTCGAGAAAATGATCCGGATTTTCTCGAGAAAATTTTGACTTCTTTTATTGAACTAAAGGTCGATGAACACGAGGAACTGTGAACTAGAAGAAGAAGAAGATTCTTCGTTTTATTCAATTTGCGATGTCGTTTTGGACCACGGACTTCTTCGTTTTGGTTTTTTAATCGTTTTATTCATTTTTCTTTTTGCATCATTTTTATAATATACAATTCACATGCAAAATTAAATGGTAATAATTTGTTTAAGGTTTTATAAACAACTGCAGAGCTGTGACCTTTTTCTTTCCAAATTTGCAAACGAAATTCAAAGATTTTCATGGCAAATCTGCTACTCCCTTAACAAGCACTAGTATAGGAGCTACAAGTATAACCACTGTATATAAGAAACAATCACAATGAATGGCAACTACAGAGCTTTTTATACAGCTTGCGACTTCTTTTGTCAACATGCCGAACGAGAAGCCGAGTTCCGGTTGCATCCGAAGCTACTTTTTTTGCATGCCGAACGAGAAGGGGAGTACCTCTGCAACATGGATGAGTGTTGCCGTTTCGAAAATAAATTACACGTGGAGCGGCAATTATCCGATGACTATTTCGGCCGCCTTGTGGAGGTCCTTGAACATACCACATCCATGGTTAGTATGACTTGGAAACAGGTAACATATCCATGCTTAGTATGACTACCATCTTTCATCTCCTCCCCAATTATCCTTCTCCTTCGGTCCTGTTGGCCCCTCCTCGCCATAAAGCTCCGTCTGAAACAGGTCAAAGATGTTCTACACCGACAATCGAACAAAAAAGGGAGCAAATTAATTATCAGATCTAGTTCAGAACGCGAATCATATATTATAGTTGGACCCCATTATCTCATGTAATTCAGCCAACATGGTTATGTAACAACCCCATCTCCAAGATGCATAGCTGCAATAATATGGTACCTGGTGCTTGAGTCCACAGAATACTTACTTCGTGCAGCGTCGTTCCTAATCCCTGTCCCGAGTTTAACCGACCCTTGATGGTACGTCCCGGGGTGTGGAAAACTAGCATGTCCATGTCTGGATGAGTAAACAATTGGCTTATTACCTTCACTATATTCCAAGTCGAAAGCATCCACCCACTCGCCACCGCTATGCTGTGAGAAGTAAACCTGCCACAGTTCTCCAGTGAAGTTGCTTATCCGGAGAGTGAAGTGTTCCCAGTCGCTTACATGTTGCCCGAGTTTGTTCATCTGTATGTTCATTAATCCGATCTTAAGGTTGGCCGGTCCATTCAAGGGACAAAAATATCCACATTACAATATCCGTAAATGTTCCACCCAATGCGTTTCCCTTTTTAACATTATTTCTTGCACTATTATCTCCTGGCAAATCTATCCAAAACTCACCATCATTTGTCCCTCCACAAGGTAAGTTTGAGCCCCAATAATCAATCGGTTCACCTTTACGCTTGCCGTTTTCACATAGAAGTGCACCGTTCTTGAAAAACCATTGCACCGACAGAGGGCAGATAGTCTTCGTCAGGATGAAAGTAAACTCTTGCGCCGTAGTGCTTGATAAGAGCATGAATCTGGTTTAAGTTCGGCATTGCATGTAGTGTGGGATCCAGGTTCTTCAAGCACGCAATCTCCAGCTCGTCGTTTTCGGAAACACAGTAGGTACTGCAGAAGAATGTCCAGACCGAAACACCTTTGCACAACATTCCTCTTTTGCACGTTCTTGCGTTCCAAACCTGAAATGGATCTGTACCAGATGAAACTATGGCATCCTTAATTTCACAAGTCTCTGTAAGATCATCTCGAACACATCTAACTTCGTCATCATCAGGCTCCTCCGGCGTGTCGGTAACCAAAACTCCCATCGCTCTGTAACCCGCCGGTGTGTTCGGCAACCAGAAGAAACCACGACCATAGCGAAGTGAATCTGAACTCCAAATCAACGTGTAGTTGACAGGTTCCTTCAGTGCCGCAAAGCCCGAATCCGAGTCACGTTCACGACAAACTCCTGGAGTCGAAGCTACCCTTTCACTAGCCACAAGAACGTACCCTCTAAGGGGCTGATCATTTGGCTGACAGTAATAACCGAGACAGAAAAAACCATCCGGAATCCCACAGGTTTATAAAATTTTCCACTTCCTTGACCCAGGTGCAAATCCTTGACCTGAGAAAATGGTAGTGCATTACAAAATGAGGATTTTTTTTAACCAACGCCTTAACTGCATTTTTAGAGTTACTATATATAGTAACTCCCCCCATGGACTGTGAATTATTGTCTAAATAATCAGATAAAAATCTTCATAAATCATAATCATCATACATACTTCACGTTAAACAAATAATTACAAAGGCAATTTCTAAAATAGAAAACTGAAAACATTCTGGAATTGGAGAAGGCAAAGAAAAAGGCTGAGGCAGAGGCAAAGGGAAGAACTCATCATCATCTTCATCAGTGTGTTTATTATGCTAACAAAAACAATCACATCCCAGCATATTTAAATCTTCCAAACCCAGAATTTATCTTCAATAACTTCACTTTCCCAACCACTTTTTTCAACTTCCTTTTCAAAGAAAGTACAAAAACAATCAAAGGCAGGGGTTTTTTTCTTTGAAGACAAATTATTAGTGGGACGAAGTTTCAACTTGATCTGTTCTTTGTGTTGGAAAAAATGAAGATGACGATGAGTATTATTATAGGTTTTCGTTGATCATTCTGTTCTGGGAAATGGGTTAGTTTGCCTCGCTTTTAAACTATTCAGCTCAGGACCCCCACATTGATTTTTCTAACTTTTTCAATTTTTGAAGTTGAAAATATTCCTACTTTCAGTTCAATGAGTGTACTCCACACTCTCTTTGTTTAATAATTTTGATTTGTGTTTTTATTTATAATCACTTTGTTGTTCTCTTCGTTCGCTTCTTGATGAGATATTTTCATGATTACATTTGTTTCTTTTTTCTTCTCCTTCGAACTTCGATCATTGTTCTCTTCTTATGAATAATCTATGCTCTCCATATATGACTTGAAGAGTAATCTCTAGTGTGCTTATCAAGAATGTTTAAAATATCTTTTTTTTTTGTAATATTTTATCCATCGATCCCATAGAAAAAAGCTAACATTTTTCTTAGATTAAATATAAAAATTATTGGTCGAGTACATAGATCAAGCTCGAGTTCTAATATTTGATTGCGTTGATATATGATTCTGAGACAACTTTTTTCTCTCAGATTTTATTTGATCTTCGTTGATTGTTTATCCGTCGATTCTTTTTAAAACTTATATCATGTAATTTATTATACATTAAAATTTTATATCTATTTATTATTAATTTATTATATATTAAATAAAATAAAATTCTAAATTTTTTAGTTTCCTGTCCGAGTCAAAACAAAAGTATATGTTAAAAGAAACACAACAATTGAGATTAGATTTAAGAATGTTTTTTTCATTTAAAAATAAGATTAAGAATGTAAGTTCACGCCCCTCAAATCGCGTAAAGGTTCTGTCAATCTTTTTTCGAAGTATAGAATGCCGTTGCAAAGCTGTTTATAAAAGAAATTATAAGCTACGTCTTCCTCATCCGTTGTACATACGCTCCTCCAATAGCATTGCGCCGTATACAACAAAAGCCGTCATTAGAAAATTGGATTTAACCATGGCTTCAATCAATGGCCGCTTCTAGGTTCCACGAGAAGCTGTTTAATTCACGAAAGACTGTTGAGGTATCTTACCATCTTCTTGGACAAGTTTATGATGTGTATTTGGTTTGGTAGTCTACTCAATAACGAAAGTGCTCGATGCAACGCTTGTTGGGAGGAAGTCTTAGAAGAAACCTATGGGTGTGAGAGTAGCAGATAACACATACACAATGTATGCAACACGTTGCAGTTTGAGGTGCTACATTCGAGTCACCAGCATCATTCTCTCGAGTTGACGTCCAAGTTCACAAACGTTTACTCTTCGTTCACGTGTAAAGGATGTCGAGACCCTACCAAAGGCTAAAGGAGATGGATAAACAATCCAAGTCGGAGGAAGATGACCAAAGCGGCAGTGATCGAATATTCAGAAATGCAAAAGCAGAAGAATGAGGAAGAAAGTTGGTTGTGCGTGCCACTAATTATGACATGGAAGTTGATACCAATCACATAACCCAAAAAAATACCTTGATGATCAATGACTTGCATACAAAGATTTTCATGTCCACGAAAATTTAGAATTTGAAACAAAGCTATTTAAAGAAATCAAATGAGCAGAATCCGTCCCTCCCCATTCCAAATCATATAACAATACAACGACACAAGAAGACATCACAGTGATCTCTCTACCAATCATTCTGAAAATGAAATTCCAAATGTCAGATGGGTACAGGGAGTTGCCTTACCTTTTGTCTGCAGCTGATGCCATTGAAGGGGGCTGAAATAACGACCGTGTAAAATTATTCTTCCACCTCTTCATTCCCCTGCTGGCCCCCGTCCCCACCTTTGGCTGCTGCTGATGGGGCCTGCCTCTTGTGCTTCTTGCTTTTCGCTTTTTTGGCTTTCATACGACGTTTTTTCTCGTTGGCATCGACCCAGGTATAGTGGGAGGGTATGTGGAAAGGATCGATCTCATCCTTATACCGGTGACTGTCGCTATCACTTGCCTGGCCACCACGAGCCCCTCTCATCCATGAAATCCATGATGTTGAACCCTCTGATTCTCTTGACTTGGAATCCTGGAAATGGGCAGGGCTGGAAAGAGGCGTTGAGAACTCCTCCATAGGTTGAAGCTCCTCAAATTTCGTGAAAGTGACAAGTACCCGAATAGTTGGGACAATCGGTATGGCAACCTGGAATAGGGGAAAATGAGATCAATAGCAATCATTAATAACTTAAAATATCAGGACTTGAGAAGATATTTGCAGCAAACAGCCCGATAACAAATGTTCAGACAGCAAGACAGTAGCTGATCAAAGGAAGAGATATGTGAAGCGAGTGGTACGAATGAAAAAAAATGCATTCACGTTATAAATAAAGCTGGATTATGCATACAATTAAAAACTAAACAGGATTTTACCATACAACCAAATAATTAGTTTAAGTATACATCTTAAATTACCTTGACTGGAAATGTACCCAAGGGCAGTTTAGTAGTCAAAAGCTCTCTCAGTCTTCTTATAGCCTTGACCTTGTTGGCTAATATGTCGAGTAAAGGCAGAAGTTCCTCTGTCTTTAAAGGGAAATCTGGTGTTAACCACAAAACGGGTCTTAAGCCCTTTTTGTACTCACTCTCATGTTTAGCATCATTAGGGGGGCCCTTCTTCTTCTTCTTGCTGCCTTTATCTTTACCCTTCTTGCCATCAACATCTTCCTTTGAAATTTCTGAAGATGATTTGTGTCTATCAACTTGTCTCTGATTGCTGCTACCTTCAGGGGCCAATTTCGAGAACTTCTTCAAAATCTTTGAATCCTCGGGACTATCACTATTCTTCGAGCCTTTCTTATTCCAGCCAAACCAACTCTTCTTATCCTTAGCAACACCATTTGATTCACAATTTTCATGGGAACCTCCTGAACCATTTTCTTCGCAGTCAGTGACTCCATGCACGACATCATCACAAAGGCCATCTGAATTTCCCATACGAAGTGCCGAATCCAGTTGCATCCGTTCTTCGGCTGTTAATACATCATCATACGCATCATTTTCGCCGCCATTTTCCATCCTCTCTTCGTCATCTACAGAAAAAAGCTCTTCATCAGTCATTGCACCAGGAACCCTCCTTGACTTCACACTCACCGTCACATGAAGCATATCATGAACTTTTGCCTTCCAGTTCCCGACCATCTCACTTTTCTCTTGTCGCCTCCAATTCAAACTAGGAACAAGCTCAGCCTGAGTAACATCAATACCAGGCCTATACATATTCGTTTGGGACATCAATGCTACTTCATGAGCAACCTCCGATTCTGTTGGTTGTTGACCAGCCCCCTCCAAAGCATTTGTAGCTTCTTTTTCCTTATGAGAAAGAACAATCAAAGAGCCCGGAGGAAGACAGAGATTATCATCCTCAGAAGTGTATCCTTCCCCTAGAAACATAAATGTTTGGTCTGATCTTTGAATACGGAACCCATCAAATCCAGCAAGTGTCATATCTGCACGGAGATTTGAACCTCGCTTCCAAATATGGTAAGTGTCTGATGGTGCAATGCGACTAATAAACGGAATAACAGAACTTTCAAAATGAAAAGTTATCTCCATGTAAAAGTCACGGATACGGGCTGCTGAAGCAACAATCCTGGGAAGTCTACGACACCACTTTGCCCAAGCAAGTGGCTGGTAGTGTCGGGCAATGATCATAGCAATTGCCTCTTCCCTTGTGCATACTGCTTCTTGCAAAGCACTCCAGCCATGCTCATTTTGAAGGCTCCAATCTGCTCCAGCTGCCATTAAAATCTCAGCTGAGATTGGATCTCGCAAACGCACTGCTAAATGCAGTGGAGTCTCCCTATCTGGGACATCACGACGATCTATGACTGCTGAGACAGCATCAGCCTGAAGCTCAGCCTCAAGAGATTCAGCTTCAGTATTAACCTCGCCAGCCTTGGCAAGCTGAGGGAGAGTCGAGATAATGCGCCTAAGCCCAGCATAGTCAAGTTGGGCAACAGCTAAATGGACAGGACTATGGGCATACTTGGAAAGATCCTCCATAGTACTATACTCTGTCTTTCAGTTTCTATCCTTAAGCTATGATTACCTCCATCATAACCCTAACACTAAAAACATAAAATTTAACAGAACAACTCCACCTCAAATCTCCCTAACAGCATCTTTTAGATTCTATTTTTTTCGAAGGTTCCAAACTTCCGAGATTAGGGCTTTTAGGCTTCACCATACAACTTCAAAACTAACAACTATGAAATTAAATCAAAGTCGGCGATGCTTTAATTGCTTCGCTATTTCCCAAACGCCTTCCATAGTGCTAGCGTTAGTTCCATTTACACGAAGTTAAAGCTTCCACAGAGATAAAATCTGTAAATGTAATCCCCAAGACAATGAACTCCAGTAAGTAAATTTTACATAAGACAATGAAAAGTTTGCTTTTTTTTCTTCTTTTTCTCCCCCAGAAATAAGCAAGTATCAATTTTTTTAAAAAAAACAATTAGACATCAACGTCTTAACTATTTTACAACGAACCTGAGGAAGCAATTATTTTTGTTCATTATCTAATCTGCCAAAATAAACACGAAAAGGAAGGCAAAAGCAAACCTGAGGAAGCAAAGCAGCATCCAAACAAAGATCCGCAAGCCAAACCGATCAATTAGGTCTTTCTTTCTCTTTCACAAAAACAGCAGTTAAAAGTTGAGGCTTTAAAGAGCGATGGAGAGAGGAGAGGATTAAATCGAACAATTAACGTCAATTTCAAGATACCCGATCGAGAGGTAACGATCTTAATCTTTGAAACAGTGACTGGCCTCCACACCACGAGTCGAGCTAATCCCTCCTCCAAACTCGTTACTTAACTCAGAGATCTCTCCTCTCTCACTGTTTTTTTTTTTCCTTAATGAAGTTTCTCTCTCTCTAGAAATGTGATATTTTTTGGTTTCCTATCTATCCATCCATCTCCTTCATCTCTGCAAATTGGCAGGACCACTGGCTTAACTATTTTTCTCTTTTCTTTTCTGTTTCTCCTTTGGTGAAATTCTACATAAGGTCCTATGTCTTTTTAGTGGATCTAATCTTTTAGTAGTTTATTTCACCTTTTTTATTATAATTTCATCCTTTCGGGTTTTTTATTTTTGAAATGAGTTATTCGTATATAAATTTATTTTTAATTCAATGAATGAAATAAAAATGAAACATATACTAACGTGTTAATATATAATATTTAAACTATTTAAAATTTTAAAATTTTAAAATTTATAAATTAAAAATATTGAATACTTTAATAATATGAAGAAGAAAAATTCACATATTGATAAGTATTATAAAAAAATTTCAAAATGTGTAAAATACATCTCTAATTGTACATGAAAACATAAAATTATTGTAAAAGGACTAAATCCATAAGAAATGAAAAATACATGTACTTACTTAAGGATTTGGCATTTTTCTTTTCTTGCTTTGGCGGAGTGGTGCGAAATTACTACTGCTGCCATCCACAGCAGTTATTTTGCCGAGACTAAAGACTACAGTAATTCAAAGAATGTAAAACAAAAATTAACAGGTACGATGATTTTTAATTAAAGAAAATAAAAGCTAAAATATAATCAATTAGTTAGCCATTACTGATTTAATTTAAGGATCTTAATAGTTAATATATTGAAATCAGATCAGATATTTCTTCGAATAATAACAACCAAAATAGCTTTATTGAATTATTAAAACTAAAGATTATAATTTAATTCGAAATTGATAGATTTTGATTTGATAGGGCTAAGATTTTTAAAAAATTATATAGTTTTAGGTCTGATCGAATTCGAGTAGAGGGTCAAAAAATTCGACTCGTCCTTACCTAAAGATAATAGTAGAATTTCTTCAAATAAATCTATAAATAATTGTTATAATGCCCTTTCTCTCTATTATCTTTTTAATTAAATATTTATTTTATATTGGGTTGATCAATTCGGATCGAATTTATACTATGAAAATTTAAGTCAGGTCAAAGTCGAATGATGAGTATATATTTTTTCGAATCGAATCAGGTAGAGCATATATATTTTCAAGTCAGGTTGAGTTGACCAAAAACCCAACCCAACTTTACTAGTTGTCATCCTTAATTAAAAATGGATTAACTACATGATTGATCACTTATGTTTATGTTTTATCTATTTTTCCTCAATGATTACAAAAAAAGATAATATATGGTCACTTTCATTTTTATTCAGTTAAGATGTGGTCACCGCGAGTTAACCACTGTTAAGTATTTTAGTATAATCACACATTTAGTCTCTATTATTTATATATTTTCTTATCTGAGTTCTACTTTTATTTACATATATGTAAATAACATGAATCAAATGTATGATTATACTAAAATATCATGCCACCTAATTTGTCAATCGTTAATGAGAGTTAACCCGTGGCGACCACATCTTAATTAAATAAAAATGAAAGTGATTGTGTCTTAACTAAATAAAAATAAAAATGATCATGTATTATTTTTTTTAAAATAAGTGAAAAAATAGACAAAATACAAACATAAGTGATCAATCATACAGTTAACCCTTTAAATATTTTAACTTAAAATTATGCCAATTTTTTATGCAATGAACTTATTGTACATAGACAAACAGATTATTTAATTATAGATTTAAAAGGACGATTAATATTTTTTAATAGAATAATTTATAGATTATTTCAAATTTAACATTATTTAATACATATTCATTAGTAATGCTAGATTTCATTTAAAAAAATTTATTAATAAAAATAAACAAAACAGCTTCAACGTGAAATAAGTTACACGAGAGATTAAATTTGACATGATTATTGACAAATTAATATATTCTAAAATAAATTTTTAGCTCGTATAAAATTATCTCTGTAATATAAACACATGTATTGTATTATATATGTATTTTTTGTATCGTAAAATATTTACTTTTATCACTTTTAGCATAAACCAATGTAAGAGTATGAGCGAAACCAGAAAGGACCGATGGGAGCTTTGGTCTCTCTCAATTAATTTTTTTTTCACGTTAATTAATATTTAAAAAATAGATAAAATAAGTTTTACCGCATCTCTCTTTATTAAAAAAAAATTTATATTTGTAGGAAATAGAAAGATATTTTGAGCCTCCTTTAATAAGAAAGGTGCTGAAATTTGTGTTCCAAAATACTCTTGAATGCTTAAGTCAATCAATAATTGATGATGATGAAGGTAGTGGAAAATAGTAGCTTGATTATGGTGTATCAATAATTGCTTTGAAAGTGAATCACGTTGTATCGAATATATTATCCGAGTCCCTAAAAAACAAAAACAGGGATATTGGGAGTGGAAGGTCACTTTCAGAATTGTATGGGTGAGGTGCGTTAAGGGTACACTGGCAACCGTCACCGTTGATATAATTATGATGGCAACTGACCTTCTGCTTTCTACTTCGCATTTCACAAAGCAAGTGATAATTTTCTGCAGTTGGTGCCAACTCCCAACTCGTATATCTTTCATATGATATATACAATACATTAATGGGTCAAGAATCCCAACCATGAAAAAGAAAAGAAAATTTGAAACTATATAGAAAAGACAGGATGGACAAGGTAAGAGATGTTCAAAAGTAATATACGGATACATAGCTTTTATTTCATTTATTTATACTTGATTATGGGTCATATATGTGTGTGTGTTTAATTTTTTTAAAATTATAATGATTTGGGATTATTGGAGATTGTAAATTAATGAATAAGATTAAAGATTTAAATCACAATTTTTTATGAAAAAATAAATAAATAATTTGAACAATTAATACATACTCATATGATAATTTTAAATCAATACAACTTTTTAATTTTTACACTATAAATCTATCCATGGCATACTATATATAGATACTATAGCAACAAGTTTTGTACTTAGCTTAAAGACAAATTAGAAGATGTGACTTGGTTTGGCTTGGAATTATCAAATATTATGATATGAACATATTGGACTATGATTTGATATAAGATATTTTTTTTACAAACACCAAACTCATCATCTTTCAATCATTAAAAAAAATCTAATGATTCAACAAATGAAGACATCTCACACGCAAATTGTTTGTCCTAATTTGACTCAAATTGATTATAGTTCAAATAATATTTATTTTTCTAAATATACATTAAGAATCCATTCGGTAGTACTGAATTGAATTATATTTCTTAATATTTTTCACTTCTGTAAAAGAAGTTACTGCTTAATTCAATGACTTCATATATGGAACTTCTATACAAACTCCCACCTCTTTATTCAATAACAAACAACAGAAATTTTGAATTTCACAGATAAATAAGCCAATTGCTTAAATTATGTTCATAATAGCACAACTAACTGGCAAAGAACCCTAAATTAAAATGAAAAGGGAAAACAACTAAATCTGAATTGCTCGACGACCATGATCCAATCCAAACCAAAATTGCTACGCTCAATTATAGCATTCAAAGCATGAAATGAAGCAACCGGGACACAAAGAAGGAACGGACAGACTTGGATCGTATCTTAGAAATTGAGAGTGGATGGGGAAATAACTATCGTTCAGAACCTTTTTAAAATTGGATTTTAATCCTCACCTCCCAGCAAAAGAACTCGTCGATGAGGGAAGTGCTTAGATAAAGTCGGTCTCCACTTGCGTGATTCATCATGTTTAATTGAACCATGCACATGCAAAGGCCTGAAAATCCGTCACTGGTGTGTCAAAAGTACATCCTAAATTCCTCCAATGAGACCCGGTGTAAGCTTCCTCGTTGATTTGATGCAACATTACTATTTCTGGTGCCCAGCATAGAAGTCTGTTAAGCCCTTCTCTGAGCACCTGTATAGACAATTAGATCACGAGAAAAATGTATTGATATAAGTCAACAGACATTTATTCCAAGCTTGCATGAGGTCTCGGGTTGCTTGGATATAAATGCTTTGCTTTCATTTTAGTTTTATTCTTCGATCTCATGCATATACTAGGACCTGACATAAACAAGTGATTCAGCAGGGGATGAACTCAGCAGGCTTACCCTATTCAACTCAGAAGGGAGCCTCAAGGGATTCATCCCAAACTTCTGCACTTCCATTAGAGGCATCTTCAATGTCATCTTCCATTGAAAGCCTAATATATTCTCGATGTGCAAAACGGTCCCATTCTGTCAACGTAGGATTCTCACGCTCCTGGTTTATTCCAAACATAAATGAGGATGTTATCCAAAAGTTGCATTTAAAAGTTAAAAAAACTGAAAGTGTCTGAGATAGTTACCTGACGAATGAGGAATGGATCACGAGATTCAAAGGCCATGAATTTGTTAAGATTGAAAAGGATATTGAAAACACTTCCAGAAAGTTTAGAACCTTTCAGGTCACGCAGCATGACAAAGCTCTCATTCTGAAAACAAGAAAAGTTCCAAAGGTCAAACATGTAAAATGGCCCGTCATCATTAGCAGTGTATATGAAAAGAGAATTCAATGGAAACACAGCTCCTACAACCCAGACCAGCATATGTTAAAGGACTGTTCATGGTTTCTCAGAGCCTTAAATCACACTAAATGATATAATAATAAAGCAGCCATGAATAACCTGCTTCCAGAGGAAATTTAAGAGGCAAACTGATCTCTAGACAATTGAACACCAATCTTCTTGAAATTACATGAGGAATTTAAAAATATGAGGATTATGATACATTCCAACAGACAGATTTATTAAGCAGTAAAGGAGATGAAAAGGGAGCAAAGATAAAATGGCAAACCTCTGGTTTAATCATGTCAATTATCTGACATAAGATGTCCTCAAATAGTACAGGCTCTTGTGCCATGCATTCCATTCGATGCAACTGCTCCTCATAAAAGAATTGCATTTCATTACGAGTTAGAACTCCATTGCCATCCAAATCTATGCCCTTGAACCTACAAATTTAAATGTCCCAATTACTAGCCAGTAATAGCATAAATCTAGCCCTGCCAAACTATGTTTGAATATTCCATAAGAGAGAACAATGGCGTGACAAACATGATTTAGAATATACAATATCAGGGAAAACCAGCCAAGAATATAATTTACTCGGATATTCAATCTTAACGTGATCATTAGGAATCTCCACCACCTCAAAACACGTCATTATTTCTCTCTCTTTAATGGCAGGGACAGAAAATATTAAGGCAAATATTTCCAAAGCAACAAATGAATCTTTCACATTCTTTACTAGCTCTTCTGACAGACTTTCTGAATTTTTAGGTGAGAAATGCAAAAAAAGAAACAATTTTCAAATTTTTTGGGGGATTTTTTTCAAACAAGTTCATATAAAATATAGGTGTTTTTACTTCAACATTAAGGAGACGAGCTTTCAAAATGATACTCAGTGCATAAAATCCACTATAATACCCTTAAGTCTATAGAGAAAGAGCACAAATAATACCAATACTCAAGACTAGGCTCAGATGACTTGTCCTCCTCTGCAAGGATGAAGTAAACAAAATCTTCATACCCCATCTTTCCTTCAACCTTACTAGTAAACTTTCTAGGAACCTACGATGATAAGGAAGCATTACATGAGTGAAAGTTCAAAATTCAGAAGAAAAAGAATAACAAATCAATGAAACAAAATACATAAAAGAGAACAGTGGAACAGGAAAAGTTCAATTAAACGAAAAACCTCTTTGTCCAAGGTATAATGTGATCAAGGAACAGAAATATCATCAGACTCGGACAAACCTGAGAAAATATTCTATCAACAATCCGGTAGGTAAGCGCATGGTTACCATATCTGATGAGGTTCTCCTTGTCAATCAGGAAATCATGATCTGTATCCAGCTCCCAAAACTTGCAGTATATTACATAAAAATGTTCATACGAAAAGTACCTGCACATATGGTGATAATTGTTTTGAAAGATGAGAAGATATATCATATGTACCAAAAAGCAATTATATAAACTTACACTTGAGATTTTGGAATTTGAAAGAAAAATGAAAGTCAGTTTTGTTTTCTATGCATTCAAGGAGATTCAGCCAAATCCTTACCTCAACACTTTATTAATGTCCTCTTCCTCATCAGCATGTAGCATGGCATCAATCAAGTTCCCACGTTTCAACTCTCTAAGGGTGAGTCGACCATTCCCAGATCTATTTATGTAGTAATATATTCTGTATATAACAGTTTCAGCTGGCCATGTGCAACAAAAGTGGTATTAATATTTGGAAGAAATAGAGACAATCCAGAGTATCAAACAACCGAAAAACACAGATATCGAGGTTTATATTAATGATTTAGTAAACAATATAAAGAATGAGACCCTTACATTTTAAGAGAGAGTCTCAATATGCTGTAATGCATGAATTGGTGTAAGATATTTCAATTTCCTTTCTAGTCGCACAATTATACACAATTTCCTATTTCAAACTGACTCATACAGGTAATAGTCATCAATTTGTCAACAATCAGTGATTCTAATATGATCATATGAAACATACAAATACTTCACATTAAACTAAAAAGATAGGCGCTATTACAAGAATTTCTTGATCAAATTCATCGTCCTAAAAAATAGGAATTTTAGAATATGGAAGCAAAGCATTGAAACCAGAGACTAAAATGAAAGCTAAATCGCCAATAACTCTTAGTAATGGCGGCCAACAAACTAAACAAGAATGTCAATCCTGTTTTCTGTGCACCTTTTATTTCTGCGTGAGATGTGTGCAAATTTTCAGCACTTGATAACCAAAGGATACAGTTTGTAGTCTTACCTATTTTAATATGCTATCATGATTTTATCAATAACTTTTAACAAAGCATTATACATTATCAAACATATTAGGTACAAAACTACATCATCAAAGAAACAGAATGAACAGTATTCACAGAAATTCACATGAAAATAGATGTATTTACAGGATTTGCAAGTACAAATGTTAGTGGTTCTAGCATTTAATAAAGGAATCAATCTGGAAACAACTCAATACAGTCTAAAATTCCTTAGATATCGTAAAAGGAGGAGCTTATGACGAGTAAAAAGATCCTAGCATCCAAAGTATCCAACTGCAATGAGAAAACAGTCAAAAGGAATCAAACAGATGAAAAACAAACCATATCTGTCCTGGAACTCAGGTGTACTCTGTAAGAATTCCAACCCTGGATGAGTTGCCAATAGTTCTTGGAGTAGAGGTTTGAAGTCCTCCTGACAGATTGAAAAGTATAGAAGAAGTTAACTTTGAACAAGGACAATTAGAAATTGACCAATATTGCAGTTGATATAAGCTGCGTCATAAATGTTTTTATATTGCATGTTTGAAGACCTGAGCAAGGTATTTGAGATCTGGTTTATTTAGTATGGCATAAACTTGGGTTGTTAAATCCTTTGCCAACATGTTTCCATTGACCCAATAATCCACAAATGCATCTCTGCAAGCAGATTAAAATAAAAATCAGAAAGGCTACCATCTAAAATGAACTAAATCATATCACAGCTGAAAAGCAACTACAATGAGAAACAGCAACAGATTAGGAGCCAGATTCTAAATTAGCAATTTAAAGATTTTGTTCTTCAACTAAGCCAGCACAGTTGAGCATTTCACCACAGAAAAAGGAATCCAAACATGAAACACTCATTTTTTTTTCTCCATCAGTTTCAAAGAATGTGATGGATCTAAGATACAAATACAAAAGTTTACTTCCATGAACAAGGAAGCCTACCTTGTAACCAAACCAGTGCCATCAACATCAATTTTTTTGAAAAGCGACGTGGAGAAAAATGAAGGCAGCTTGCATACTTCCTTGGTCACAAGTTTGAATTCTGAAAATTTTAGAAAGTAAAACATGAATATCAAATGAGTTCCAGAAATATCAGACAAAGGGAATCACAAATGTTTCTTACCTCGCTGCTGCAGTCCATTTGGGTGGCCAGCGAAGAACTGACTGATTCGAGACATATATTGTTCTTTTAGGTCATTCGGAGGTGGACAACCGTATTTAAAGTAAAACTGGAGGTGATTTCAAGCACCAACATGATAAGTTATCGCAACTTCAGGATAGAAATGAAAATATAGCACATAAAACACAAGGACAGAAACGGTGAAAGAAAAATCATATCAATTAAAAACGATCCAAACCTGAGGTATAAATTCTTTCACAGGTTCGCTAACTACTTTCAGTGGGGAACCCAAGTTTGAAGGACCGGGCCTTTGTTTTGTTATACGAGGGGAACCGGATGTACTTCTTGGTGAAAGGGGAGGAGCACTTCCAGCAGGAAACATGGAAGGTAAAGAATGGCTTGAGGGAGACCCTCCACTGGAAGCATTTCCAGGAACATTCAAGGGATTGCCCGCCTTTGCATCATTAACCAATGATGTCACCTAGCAAAGGAACAAGAATTAAACAACAGCGCACCCGTAGGCTTAGAGGACCATTTAATATATCACACAAATTCCATATTCTCTGTTTCAAAATACCATATTTAAAACCAAAGCATTGCTTAATCATCCAAAATTAGACAAGAGCAATTAATGGATATTGTTAAGATCATTAAGGCTCCAACTTAAAATTGACTTGCAGAGCAAACTAAACTCAACAAAGGTGGGATAAGACTATTTAACAAATACCGGGAAAATTAACAACCAGATGTCACCATATTCTTTCTGCATTGATTAATCCATTAAATATCTTAGTAATGCCGAATCCAGATAGATATACACATAATGAACTAATTAACACATGTATCTGGCTCAAAATAATGCTTCAAATCATCATAAGAATTTTTTTTATTAAAAATAAATAAATAAAATTTACCATTAAATAACCTAGTAATGATCTAACTAGTACAATGTTAAGGCAATAACAATCAATCGTTTTCAATTCAAGCATCAAAACAAAAATAATTCAAATCATCATAAGAAATATCTTAGTAATGCGGAATTCAGATCCATGTACGCATGACGAACTAATTAAAACATGTAACAGGCTCAAAATATGCTTCAAATCATCATAAGAAATGTCTTTTAATACCATCAAATAACCTAGCAATGATCTAATTAGCACAATGTTAAGGCAATAACAATCTATCATTTTCAATTCAAGTATCAAAAGAAGAAGAATAAAAAAAAAGCACAACAAAGATCCGAAATTAGAAAACGAAGAGTATACCAGCTTGTTAGCATCGGGAAGCGAAAGCCACTGCTCGAAAAGCTTTTGAGTGAATTCAGGATATGATTTAAGAGCGAAAGGAGACATCTCCTGGAGATGCAATAGCTCCGCATCCAAACACGATAAATCGCCAAAAACAACTGCCTCCATTTTATTTTCTTCGCATAAGCAAAACACAGCTCAACCAAAGTTTTCCGCGCAGATCGAATGAAAATCAGGTTCCAAAAACCAATTCCTTTGAAAACACAGCAGATTTAAGCTTAGGGAAATAGCTTTAGTAATTAATAAAAACATAAGAAATTAGAAACTTCGATTTGGAGCTAGAAAGCGTTGGACACCCCAGATCTTCATCACGGAACGAGCTACACAATAATATTTCTTATTTTTTTGTTTTTTCTCCTTTCATGTTAGCGATAGAGTGTTTGGGAGAAGAGAAAACGAAAGAAAGTGAGATTATAATTTGTTTTCAAACAAAAAAAATTATTTTGAGAGAAATAGACAAGAATCGATGCTATTCAAGAGGGAGATCAGCTAAGAAATTGCAGAGATTTGAGTAACATTTAGGAGAAAATAAATAAATTAATAAACGAAATATTATTTTCCTCGGTAAATTAAGAAATAGAATTTACAATTTTTTTCCTTCGTCACGTGTCAGGATTACATTTATTAGATATTTTATTTAAACTACTTAATATTATAGATTTTATGCAACTTATAATTCACTGGTTTTAGTTTTTTAAATAAAAATATGTTTAAACAGGTAAATAGAGTCAAAATGTCGAAATATTTATTCCACAGCCCCGAAAGTCAAATCTATTACGTTCACTAGACGAGATCTTAAAATACGGCGGATAAATTACAATTTAGAAAACGATGTTTATTACACATTGTTTGTACTTTCTAGGTCTAATAATGCGACATAATTATAGTATATCCAATAAATATTAAGACCTAAAATATGTGAAAAAGTTTCAATAAATAAGATTAAACATACTCGTGTCGGACACATAAAAACTAATTCTAATCCCGGATTAGAACAAAATGCAGTCTACAAAAAGCAAAAATCAATACAAGCTAATGGGAGAGATTCAATTAAACGAAATGGGCATTGTCCATAGAAACCAAGCCTTTTAACTCCATGGTTTCCTTTCTCCGAAAACTTCCCATTCCGTCAATTTTTTATGCAACTTGTTAGCTTTTTGTTTCATTCCAGCATTGGATATACCTTTGATTATAGTCGAATACTCGTCTGGCCTACTCCGGGTTGAGACCATCGTTTCCAGCACTTGTATCGCTAAATCTACCTTATCGATTCTACACAACTCAAGTATTACCATTTTATAACCACTGATTCCAGCCCTGTGTTTCAGTTCTGCCATCACCTTCAGTATCCCTACTGCTCCCTCTACTTGATTCGACCTGCAAAATCCCCAAACTAAGCAACGATGAGTTATGTCATCGGGACTGATCCCTTCTTCCGACATCCGATCATATAATCTCATTGCTTTCTCCATATCACCGCCTCTGGTGAATCCGTCAATCACAGTGTTGTAAGATATCAAACCCGGGGAACAGCTACTCCCGCTTAAAATTTGAAGCAACTGAAGAGCCTCTTCCGCCATTCCTTCTTTAGAAAGAGCACCAAGCAGTGTATTATAAGTAACAATGTCCGGGGAACAGTTTTGAGAAACCATTTGATCAAAGAAGGTGATGGCGTGGTCCAAAAGTCCATATCTACACAAACCATTGATCAACATATTGTAAGTAACAACAGTCGGAGGATGCGAAGTTTCCTTCATGATTGCAAGTATCTCATCAACTTCATCCCAACACCCGTGATTACAGAGAGAGTGGATAAGGGTATTGTATGTTACAGCATTGAGCTCCAGGCCATGAGATATAATGTTGTAAATGACTAAAGCCCCATCTTCGTATTTCCCCTGCTTACAAGTTAAATTAACAAGTGAATTGTAGGTAACGATGTCGGGATAACATCCTTCGATAGCCATATCATGTAATACTTCCATTGCCCGAGCAGTTCCACAATGCTTGCAGACTAGCTCAATGAGAATCGTATAGGTGATTAGATATGGAGGGCAACCCTTTCTCAATTGATCCTTCCAAAACCCGATGGCCTGATCGAAAATCCCATTATCAAACATGCAGCGAATTATTGTATTATACGTAATCACATCTGGGGGGCAACCACTTAAGCTCATGTTTTCCAAAAGGTCAATAGCAGATCGTATCCGTCCTCTCTTACAAAGACAACGAACCATCATGTTATATGTAATACTATCAGGGATCCCACCAGACATTATCATAATCTGAAGAACTTTGTCGGCTTTATCGAGCTCATTTACTTTTACAAAGCCCCTTATTAAGTTTATGCAAGAAGGGAAATGGGGAATTTGATTCTGACGCGCCATAATTTCTATCAGCCGTGTCGCATCATTTAGTTTCCCGTTGCTGCAGAACTTTTGAAGAATATCATTGTTCGTTTCCTCTTCATTTCTAACAAAAGGTCCATCTAAAGCAGATGTCAAGGGATTCGAAAGCTTTTTCAAATTTATTTGCTCTTTTAATTTTCTCTTAGCACTCACATTCAAATCTTCTGAGCTCAGACATTCATCTTGATCAAATTCAACTGAGTCATTACAAACACCTCTCTGCAGTCCTCCGCACACTAAAGATGCTGCCTCTCTTTCAGAACCATTATCGGCCTTCCATGGCAAGCAAGAGTGAATTCTATGATTACATTTGTTCGAGCAAGCTAAATGAGAAGTAGATACTTTTACTATTGAGCACTTCATGGAGCTGCAACCCGAACCAAGTTGTGTCGAACCCCACTGCACACCATGAAAACGGCAAATCTCAACTGGAGAGTTGTGAAGGGCAAATGTGAATCCCATTTTCTGATCACTTAATTAAAGACGATATGTTGAGAAAACACTGCACTTATGACTTAAAGAACTCAATTACGAGCAATTCACCGCACAAACAAACAATTCCTTAATCCACTAATCTCATGATTTTAGGCTAAACTTTAAATGCTTGGCAAGTAATTCTCTCACTTTCCCAGCTCGACAAATGGAGAACAAACATCAAACCTGCAACAGTAGAAGCAAGAAACATCAAAACCATAACTCCTGTACCAAAAAAGAAAACCCCACGAATTACATGGTAGATACATATATGAACAATAAGAAATAGCAATCCATGAATAGATAATGCAAAACCCTGAACCCTAAACTGCCATGTCCCAGCGCTAAAACAGCTAAAGCCTGCTGCCAAAAAAAAAGACAATGAAAAACAAAGTCACTGGGTTCCAAGTTTCAAATCTTCCATTTAGGGCATCTAAGCTAAAGGACAGAAGAAACCAGAATGTTTGCATTGTTCAACATAAAACACAAAGAAGCGAAGAAGACGGCTTATTAATGCACTCAATTAAGAACCCAATTCACATAATTCAAAAACCAGGAATCATTTACATTAGATAGATTCGCGTAAGAGAAACTAATCCAAAAGCTTCAAATTCAACAACTCATTTTCTGTAATTCAAGCCATTCAGCATTTCACCTTCATAGCATAGTATCCAAAATAACGAAAGAAAGACAGAAAAAGGTTCCTTACCAGAATACTAATTCAAAACCTTAACTTGAACAAGGAATTGACAAAGAAGGAACTAATCTTTGGTGACGTTGTTTTCTAGGACATGGAAAAGGCAAAGGTTTCACGTTCGTTTAGTTCTGTCGATGAGGTTGGAGTCACGTCAATTAACTAGGGCTCGGTTAGTATCGAAACTTCGCTTAAGCACCTCTTGACTTGCTTAAGATAACAAAGGCCCAAAGGTCTCCTCTGTCTTTCTACAAGAATACCGTGCTCGCACGGCCTAAATGAACTGAGTGAGAGCTGATTTGTTGTTATTTTTCGAGATTTGGTGTTTTAATATTAAAAATATTATTATGTAAATGTTTAATGTTAAATTATTAAAAAATAATTTTATTTATTAGTAAAATACATCCCAAATCACCAAATTATTAATTCGAATACAAATAAGTCCCTTTTTCTAAGAATCACAATTAAATTATTCAATTAGAATACTATTGGAAAATTACAATTAAATCATTTAATTAGTATATTTTTTGAGTTAATTTTGTGTATAACGTTTGATGGGATAGTGATTTTACGAAAATATAGATAGATGGATATCCAAACTTAGCATTTTGTATAACAGATGCTTCAAGAACCTTGGGATATAAATTGATAAACCCTGCCTCTTACAGGAATTCCTTGCATCTTCCCCGCTGGAATAGAAGGCCAAAATGAAATCTAAAACAAATAATGAGAGCTGTGCCTGTGCCTAAAGCAACACCCCGTGCCCCCAAACCCCAAACAAAAAACTTATTCAGATGTAGAAAATTACAATGAAAAAAGTTTAATGCTGATAATACCTGTAAAGGATTAGTGGGTGATAAGTTTTTGGTTTGATCCTTATTGGGTGTTACAATGTAGAGATAGAAAATCGCGTTACAAACAGTAATGGCGGGGGCATGTGCATGAAGAATGCGATGTGCAGGGATCAATCTGGAAACAGATGCTGAAAAGCCTCCCAGTAGCATAAGTACATTCAAACCAGACTCAAAATATAACCAAATAACCCCTTGTTCATAAACGTGACTTATATCACTTAACGATTTTTTTAATTGTATTATTTAAAAGTATAACGGAGAAAACGTCAGTCACATATTTTTAACGAAAAATTCTTTAGTCACCAAAAGTCAATTGTGAATATAGTTTAATCACTTATTTTTATTTTAAGCCTAATTAAATCATCCATCATTCAACCTTCACACGATTACTTTCCGCTACCACCTTTGTTAGGGTAAATATTCGATCGAGTCGAGTCAAGTAAATATTTCGAGTTTTTCAAGTTGACGAGTCTTATTTCACAACTCGAAGTTGAATATTTTAAATTTAATTGTAAATATTTATAATATTATGATATTATTTAATTTCAATTTAAATGGTTTTTTATAACCATATACAATATATATATTTGTTTCATATGTAATACAGCTCAAATCAAACTTAAAAATCATTCCACTAATCACTTAAATTTTTGTTCGAGTTGTATTTTATAACTCGATTTGAACTTAAATTTTTTTCAAATCAAATCAAAATCAACTTAAAAAAATTAATTTTTTGAGTCGAATTTAGTTTTGTTCATCCTAACCTTTGTTGACCTTCTTACCGTCCTTTGCTGCATAGTCCCACAAACTCTGCCTTTTTACAAATAATTTTTGGATAAACTACATCAATATCATCAAACTTTAGGTGTTGTATCATTTATATTATCAAATTTTTAATTTTATCAATTATAACATTGATTGAACTTTGATTTTCGTTTCAATTATACTAATAAACTATTGAATTGATAATGACAAGATGACGTGACTGACGATTTTTTACTTGGTTGACAAATATCGACATAAACACTTTACCAAAACAAAGTCATTTTGATATAGCTATTAACGGTTGAATGACCCAGTGATATAATTGAAAATGAAATAAAAATTCAGTCGGATAAAATTAAAAATTTGATAATATAAACGATCCAGTATGTAAAGATTAATCGTATCGAGTATAGTTTAGTTTAATTTTTTTTAGTCATTGTCATCTGTTTTCACGTGGATCACCAATCACATCATTTCATCACTAATTTTATCCGTATAAACAACAATTTCTACTCCAAACAAATCTCCCACTTGAAACATTAGATAAATAGATCTATCCCTCACAAAGTTCCATTTCCCTTTATCATCTATCTACAACCATTTTCTCTGATTTATCAACTTCTTATTGTTGTCAGTTTTCATTGCCCAGACCAATATGTTCCTTCAGAAGTTTCATTTTTAAATAATTTTATCCACTGTCCCTTATCTATAATATAAACTGGAGTTACGGATTGCTCCCATAAATATGTGAAGACTCGTCTTTTCTTAATTCTAAAGTTGAAGGAGTAATTGATAACGACTTTGATAATTTTAGTACTTGTTTTACAACGTTTTCTTCTTTTGGTGTGAGAAGTTACATTTGAAATCTTGATGTTTTTGAAAAGTTGTTTCTTTTTTTTCCCCCTTTTACGAGCTTATATTAGTAATCATATGACTTTGTTACCGTTCTTTTATATCTATTTATTATTAGAATAAATTAAAGTTCTTTTATTTTTATCCAATATTAGAATTTACATTTATATAAGAGAAAATAACCTCAGTGACCCAAAATCTCATATAATATACGATTTTAACCAACTTTTTCCGGATTTGCAAAAATGACCAACAAAATCGCAATGCGATCGCTAATTCGCAACGCGATCTCCATTATCGCAAATCAATTTCCAGATTCGTAACGCGATTATGACTATCGCAACGCGATAATACAAAATCGCAACTCGATACTGACTTTCGCAACGCGATACTTAATTTCGCAACGCAATACTGACTTTCGCAACGAGATAATACATAATCGCAATGCGATTTTCAAAGCGCCATTAGTATCGCAAAGCGTATTTTATTTTCAAATTCCAAACACGAATATTAATATATTGGAACACTGAACCGTCCACAGTATATCCCGTAATCGCAACTCATAACCTAAAACATAAAATCACAACTCAGTCTCATCTCCATCTCTCACTCTCTCACCCATCTCCGACGAAATTCGTCCCCATCTCCGACGAAATCCGTCTATCTCCATCTCTCAGAGCCACCCTCACAATCAGAAATGGAAAATAAACCAAATCAACCACCGAGGGTTAGTTTTTTTAATTATTTTATTTTTGAAATTTTTGCATTATTATTAGTTTTTTCATATTGAAATTGATGATAAGTTTACTGGTAATTTCAATAATAGATTAATCATTTCACTTAGATTGCTTATTAAATCAACCGAGAATCGCAACGCGAAATGAAAATCGCAACGACAAAAACGCAACGCGATTTTATTCTCTCGTTGTGATAGTCAAATTTGCGTTGCGATTGTCATTTTCGTGTTGTGATTTTCATTTTCAGAAACTATTCTTCTTCTGCAAATTGAAACTTGAATGAATTGCATTACTTCAACCAAAAAACAAAGACAAATAAGAAATTCACAGTGTTGCAAATTTAAGTTTGAAGAATAAACTACTACTCTTTATGTTTATTATTGTTTTTGGTATATCTTCACAGTGTAGTTTTTGGTATATCTAACTTAGTATGTTTATTGTTTTTGTATAACTTTTATTCGGCTCAATTGACCTTAAGAAATAAAGTCAGCCTGGCCAAAACAATTGCGTCGAAGCTTTCACATGCACAAAGAAAAATGTTTGAGGATACTTGCTTCGGGCCATGGCTGAAAGTACAACATCCCGGTGGAGATGCGATGTTGACACACCTGTTTCTTCAAACTATGACTAGGGATCTACCATATACTATACAACGTCGTGATGAAGAGATATGATTTGATTTTCCACCTGCGTATACGTGTTTTAGGCGGGAGGAGTTTTGCTTAATCACCGGTCTACGCTTCGGACACGATGATGTAAGTCGGTACACTAGACACATTACCCGTCCATCATGGTTATCCCGGGTTTTTCCTGAGCTGGAGAGGCCGAATCTACACGTGGAAGACCTGACGATATTATTGAATAAGAAAGATGGTTTTACTCGGATGGATGACGTCGATGTTGTCCGAGTATGCCTTCTAATACTTTTGCATGCCGGCTTTTTAGGCAGAGAGGCCAGACAACCTATTCCGAATGATCTAATCAAATTGGTAGAAGACCTTGGAGTAAACTTATTAGCAGTAGCCATCCCTTAATAATATCTCTTAAATCAGCCAATGATATGTAATTTATCATGCTTTCATATACTATTGCCTTAAGGGATGGGATCTAAAGCTCGACGAGAAGCCAATGTTTACGTTTCAAAACAGGGATAAACACCTGCAATCATAAGTAATAATTCATTCATTTGCGCACTTATTTATGAATACCTTTAAACTCAATCTAAAATAAACACTAACCTTATCGACCTCACACCATGCAGGATAAAGTTTAGCTTGTCCATTGCCCAACGCAAATGATTCATCTCGTTGATTCTTCAAGTGAACTGCGTTAAAAGACATCGGCATAATTATATATCGTGTATTTCTTTTATTTTCCTTAAGTTTCCTAATTATTAGAAGACGTGACACCCACGCATCGATATGTTGTTTTATAAAAAAATACATATATTAGTAACTTACATAAATTTAAAAAAAAATAATCAAATTAAAATATAAGAAAAATATAAGACTTACCCTTCCATCGAAATAGCCATTGTCTTTGACCCCTAATAATACGCCCCACCAAGATCGATCAAGCAACAAATAGATATCATCGTTGAGCTTGCATATGTCAGTGAAACACCCCTGGCTCCGCTCATGTAGATAAAAATCAACTGCGGTCTTAGCCCAAAGGGTGTTATCCAGAATTCTGTCCGGTAGTTGTTTCCTCTCCACTTCAGATATCGGTATGGTACTGGCCGATAACTCATACGAGAGCCAACTTGAATCCATCATGTCCGGCACGTCAGAGGGTTTCTAAAGAATCCTACATATTACGCCATGTGAATCGGGCTCTTGAATGGTGGGAAGGACCTCTTCAACGATGACAGTGGCCTCTTGAACGGTGGGAGGGGACTCTCGAGGAATGATAGGGGCCTCTTTAACGATAGGAGTGGACTCTTGAGGGATGACAGGCGAGT